TGCGTGCGGCGAAGGCTGGATTTCTTGAAACAATCACGGAAAGTAGTTCCGGCTTCCAGCTCTTGTTCAAGGCGATCGGTTTCGATAATCACTGCCTAGCCAAGGTTTCAGGGACGTGTCCTAATGCACTGAGTTTGGCATAGATAAACTTACCAAGGTTGGTTTGACGTCAACTGTCGATACTGCGAGCCTTCGAAGTGAATTTTCAGCGTCTTCCAACCTCCCTTTCCTGACGAGCCACCATGGACTCTCAGGGGCAAAGAAGAGCCCAGCAAGGATTACGGCTGGCCAAAACCATTGAGTCGCAAAAGGGGCACTGTATGCCCAGTGATTGTCTAGCCCGTGTGTTGCGGCAGAAATCCCGTTTGCTGTAAACTGGCCGATCACAAAACAAAGATTCACATATGCAGTCAAAATACCACGTAGAGCAACGGGGCAAACCTCCGAAGTATAGGCGGGAGCAATGACCGCATACGATCCCAAGACTAGTCCTCCAAGGAGCTCACCAACGATCAATACCTTTAAGGAGCGTGCAAAGAACTGAATGAAGACACAGCCCGTCGTAAGGACAACGCAGGCCTACGGGAAGAGCAAAAGCAATTCAGCATGGCCTTCTAACACACTGGTGGATACACAGAGAGCATACTGCAAATGTTTTCTTCCTACCAAACCACTCCATCGGATATGTAGCGGCTAGAGAGCCTACAACTTGGCCTATGGGACTTCCAATACTATTTATTTAAGACACTGAATAAGCATCCCTCCCCCTAGATATTAAGGATTTGGTAGTATAGAATATTATTGACCTGAGACCAGACTGCCAGGCGGCAGAGATTATCCATTTCCCTTTGAACAGATATCCGAAATCTTCTTGGAATCTAGGAACTCCATAGAGATTCCCAATGACCTGGGGGTCATAGCCCGTCATGATTACCCCAAGAGAGAAAAAGAAGGACCAAGCAGCTGCTTTGGGATAAAGCTTCAGGGCCGTGCGGATATCTAATTCATGTTCTGCGATGGTTGCAAGCTGGGCTTCGGGACTGATCTCTTCGAGGAGGCCAACGTTAATCTTGCCCTTTTGATCCTCAACATCCTCATGATGAGACGCCATGTTCGGCTTGCTAGACATGGGGACAGTTGAGTGCACAGATGGGCGATGAGATGAAGCCGATCGAAGGGCAGACAGAAGCGGCGTGCGACTGTCAACAGCTTCATCTATTCCAAAGCAAACAAATCACTTTCCGTCAGAACACATGAGGACGGCATGAGGTCAACAGGACAATAGGCAACTAATAAACCTGCCCCACCTCCACTCACCGTAGCTGATACTTGAATCCAACATCTTCACGGCTAAAAGGAAGTAAGTGGGTGATAAAACCCAGCAAATATCATTCCATACAATAGGTTCCCCGCACTGCACATACCTGGCGCGTCTAGGGATCCTCAGATGTATCCTGGACTGTGAATGCTGTCACGGTAGCATTGGCAAACCCCTCGCCTCAACCAGGTACCTCCTGGCCGATCAACATATAAGATAACTGTGGTTTAACTGATGTTGAACGGAGAGATTCTGGTTGACATGCATTGAAATCGAAATCCGGGGCGAATGGATGTAAGAACGAAGGAGCAAACATAGAGTTTAGGGTGGCATGGCGCTATTGGCGGAACTTGGAACATAGTAAGCAACTGGCTCGCTATTCTTTAACTGCAGTTTTAAGGGTGTTAGGGGGCTACAATTAGGCGCTTGGAAACCTGGCTAACCCTATATTTTAGTTAAAAGGTCTTCTACAACTGCAATTCAATCAATCGCTTAGGAACCCGGTGGAAAGGTACACACAACTCAACTATTCCAGCAAATCAGTGGTTATAGGGAAGATAAAAGACACTTAAATTTTCCCCTTTATCTATAAAATTATCACTTGCCAACAACCATGAGCAGCCATCATAGACCGTAAATGTAACATTTAAAGCAATCCAATATGCAACTACGTATTTTGAATACCCACCTTGCTCTTCAACAACGACAAAAATTCCCCCAGCTGACCCTTCAGACAATTAGAAGAAGTCATTCCCACATAAACTCCCGGCAAATATCAAGAACTGTTTTCCTTTCAGCTGGTAGCCGTCAAGAGTCGACTCGTCCCCGCTGATTCCCCAGGCATCTAGTTACCGCTGATCAAACTACTCTGCAGTTAGCCGGAAGGTTCGTTATCTAAGTTAACTAGTTAACGTGAAGTGCGGGATGACGTAATCACCCAGGCCCTCTCCGCTGGTCAAAGCTTCAGTGCTGCAACAACCTTCATCCATGAGTTCAGCCAAAAACCGCTCGGATGCCCCGAACCCATGGGGTTGATATTTTGCCTAGATAATTTTGTTGCTCCTTTCTTTCTACCAACTTTCCAGGTATATTCTCGGACCGTGACCCTCTCCATGTAGTTAATCCTCCTTTCCTTTTGCTGCCCTGTTCTGCTTGCTTCTTCCTCCAAATGCCAGCGCCGTCCTTGCTCCACCTTGCGCGAAAGTCGTGCATGAGAATGATAAAAAGTAAGAATCCCCCATTTCGCTTCAATAACAAATACAGAATACCGAATGTGTCTAAACCTCCTTCTTAGGAATTGATGATATTGGATTGGCCCGTTATGATCTTATTAGGCCCGTACTTCAAAAAATCGAGAATCCAGAGCAGTTGGTATGCATACACCCCCCCCCCCCCCCCCCCCGCAAACGAACCCCGTTCCATATAACCACCAAGCATAAATTTACTATTTCCTGATCCCTTTTACTAATTCTAAATTCCTGCCCATAGCATGAACTTGAGCTCAAGTCACCACACCTCCTCGATCATGACGCAGAATTATGGATAGAATTTATCAAGCGTGACGTTCCTCGCTTCGACGAGCTCGTTCTGCCCGAGAACCCTGAGAGTTGGTACGATGTTTACCATGAACTCCTGGAGAAAACTGCACGGGAAGTAGATGAGGATGCTGAACGTATGAAACTTGCGCTGCTTGGCCTCGATTCCCATAAGGCAAAACATAGTTCCATGATGGTGGATACTCGGCAAATGCGATTACCCAGAGAGAAACCGACCGCGATCCAAAGACAAGCTTTTCTCGACCGCAAAATGGGTGGCATCCGCCCCGTTTTCGTCTCGGGAGGGAAGCCATCTGGAGGCCGTGGGCTCAACCCGTTGGACCAAAGCGCACGGTGGAGATTGGAGGCCTCAAGAATACCACGACCGACTGCTAAGAAGTCAGCACTCCCTTTCGTGAAGAGGAATCAACGACTTTGTATCCCCACACATCGTCTGAATAGCAGTGCCACCCAGATCGTTAACGCCCCACGATCGTTGATTGAGGATTACAAGCGACCAATTGAACAAAACATCCCAAAACCAAAAACCGGGGACCCGCGATCTCCAGCACACAAAAACATCAAACCTAGTCCCCGAGATCCGAAATCAGAGGATCTGAAAACTCTCACTTCATCTCCAACAACCACCTCACCTCGCACCTCGGCCTTGCTCAAACAGAACCCTTCACCCACCGAAAAGGAAGAAGCTCCTGTAACATTAAGGTCACGCTTGGAAATCAGGCCACACGGCAATACGCCCAAAGATACCACATATACAACACCAACGAAACTCCCACCGAACAGCCCCAAGATCAAGGGCGACAACGAAAAGCTTTCTCCGTCGCGCCTAGTTATAAGGAAACGCCCGGTATTAGACTCTGTGCTTATGAAACCCAAAAAGCGACGGCTGTGACCATATCGAGCGAATCTCCGCCTTTCTGGCATGGAAGCCAGACACTCACCAACCGGGCTACCAGCCTCTTTCTCAAGGTCCCTTGGCATACGAACGATTGCATATCTGGACAACAGCTTTACATGCAAAAATGATTGCACGATGAGACAGCATCGAATGGCCACCAACTCTCGCTTCATAACAACGAACAATAGAAAGAAGAAAACACTTCACATTTCCAGTGGAATTAATGGAACACGCATTTTCCCTTGTGATAAAGGAAAGGTTTTGGATGGCGTACAAATTGTGGGGTCCATGGAAAACTGATACACTGTGCGTGCATAGAGGTGTCTTTGGGATTGGATTTGGAGTTCACGTTTGCTTTTAGAAATATTGAAAGACGTGCGTGTAACGTCCGTCTTTAATATATTTTCTTGAGTTCATTGGAAATCAGAAGGTAGCAAACCCAGTGCTGATTTTTCTCTCCCTTTCTCCTTCACCTCTTGCGAGAAAGCTAGGGGAGTGCACTCCCCTTTTTACCTCCTACCAACTTCCTTTCCCATTTTAACTCTTACGATTTTCATGCTTTTATGCGTTCTCTCTATACCCATCACAAGGCGCATTTAGCTAGAAATATGCCCATCATATGTAAATATCTAGCAAGACGAAACGTGCATAAGTGAAGATAGATACTTTTAACGATAATTATAATAAAACAGTTTCGATGAACAAGATGACTTGAAAATAAAAGATTATGGATTCGTTAAGCCGTGAGTACAAACAAAAAAGGGGAGGAGGGGATATGTAGGCATTCTAAAATACAGCAAGCTAGGCACAGAGATGGGAAGAAACATGTGCACTGGGACGGTGGTCAGCAAATTAGGTAGTCAAAGGATTACTCCAGGATGCAGTTATCTGACCTCCCGCCAGGCACGAGAAAAATTGCATAAATGAGACAGCAATCTCTAAGAGAACATCCTCTCACTGTCACAGAAACTGCATCCGCAATGCTACCAGGGAATATATAGTCGAGTGTCGGGAATTGGTAATTTAACAATTTATCATCGAGGTATAGGTGACAGAAAGGGAGTCCTAAAAATTTGTGGTTTGAAAACTTCTTTTCCTTTCCTTTTCTACAACATGCCACCGCGAAGAGCGAGAACTAAATGTAGCGTAGCGCCGCCCTCGAGATTGTATTCAGCTGCAGTCTTATCGTCTGCCCTGTTGCGAGGAAAGGAAAAATGATATCAGCAAACTAGTCGTAAAGTAGCCTCCTCGTAATCGGAACATCCCACCCCCATACCCTACAGATGGGGTATTTTAAAGGGAAAAAATCCCAGCGACAAAATGGCAGGGCCGGGGTGGGTGAATTCGCGGGAGAGATGATTATAGTTGTGATGCCAGGGTCTCATCCTAAAACGTACATCTGTTTCCCTCCATAAATAAGCCGCTGTTGAACCGGTGGGATGCCTTCCTTTTCTTCAACACGCTCCTTTATTCGAGAAACCTGACGGAGTAGAAGAATGACGCTCAGTTGCTGTGCCTGAAAATTTGGTGTTTGCTGTTGCTGCATATTGCCGCTGGGCTTTTGTGGAGGGAGGGTTTCGGGTTTGGGGGAGGGGTACATACCTTGTAATCAGGTTCGATATCCAGTTTGATCTCTTTACCCGTCAGGGTTCGCACTCTGTTGAAAACCGATAGAGAGCGTTTTTGGTTAGCATTTGGTGATCTTCTTCGCTATTATCATACACATGTTGTTGCGCTGGAACGGGATAACTATGGTGGGACACTACTTAATAAGCATGATGGTTTGGTGACAAAGGGAAATGGTCAACAAAGGGTAGTTAGAGGAGGATGCTGAAGCTAACGGCGAAGATTGATATCCTCTGAGATATAGGTTTGTACTTTTGTTGCATGAGAGGTAGGAGTGCTTGCAAATGGCAGGATGTGTGTTAGTTGATTCAGTGCTGAACCAGGCTGCAAAATGCTGGTGGTTTGGTTGGCAGTGATTCACTCACTAGCGGGGTTGGGAGAGCTTCAACTAAATATCAGAGTGACTTATCTGTTAGTTATTGTCGCTGGCTACAACAACACTGCTACCTGAAAATATATGAACACTTCCTGCTTTTCGGCGCAAAGGGCAATACAATTTCATACTCTAGTGTTAATTAAGCTACGCTAATCTTGCCGTTGTATAGCTAATTTATCATGCCAGGCTGAAGAGCATTCCCGCACTCATGGGTTCGATATGGTTGAGAATTTGCGGCAACTAAGACGTCGACCGGTTATTCCAATGCGGAAACGAGTATAAATCACTGTTTTATCAAATGTACAACATCATATAGCACCAGCAGCCAGCTCATATAAAAGCAGGGTTTACTTGGTTCAAGACCACAGCAAATGGCGCAAAGAGTCCTTCTTCGCCTTCTTGCCACGCACAATGGGGAGAGAAAGGATGCTGCAAATCCTAATGTGCTAGTATTCCCGCATATGCTTAGAAGAAACACCCTTTTCGAGTCCTCAACATATTCTAAGTAACCAAGATATGTAGTATCATCTCAGCTGATAATAAGCCGCAGGATGAAATCCAAAAACCATACACCTACCATCGCTTTGCAAGGTATATTAAATAGAGGGTAATAATGCTGAATCCCGAGTTCGAGGGATGGACGACCCTCTGGATATGACTTTGGCAAAACTCCAGCCAGAGAGCCGAGTTTCGTGAACCCGCAAAACTGCATCGCCTTTTGGGCATGTTCACCCACTTCATGTGCGGCAGCCCACATGGGGTGATTCAAACTAGAAGACGGAATGTTGTTCCAAGTAATGATCTCATGCAGAGCTTGAGACATACCTTCGAGCTCTAGCATCTGAAGTTCCAGGCATTGGACTTGTGCCCGTTTGAGAGAGTTCACTTGAATGCCCTGGCTCTGGTGCACTGGTTGGCCGAGTCAGAAAACTGAGGACAAATATGTTCCATGGGCCAACAGGGCATATCTGATGTTACCCAGTTACCCGCTAAAACATCGCTCGCGTCTCAGCAAGCCCATGATAAGGTGCCATGTTGCTTGTTTGGCCCTCATTTTTATGCCATGGATGCGGAAGATGACCCTGGGGTCCAATGCAAACAAGGTAAATGCTATTATATCCGCCCTCACCTTCAGAGAGATCTCTTACGATTGTAAAGGGATGCGGTGTCCAAGTTGCGTCCAGATATACTGTTCTCCATCTATGTCGCCATAGTCCCATTCATCCAGCCAGCGAAATGCGTATAGAAATACTTGATAGATGCAAGGCATGTCCGTTACGTCCATTTTTGAGATGGATAGTGATAAAAAAAACTTGTTTCAAGCGGACTATTGAGCGCGAAAAACTGGGGTGACTCCAGCCCAGTGGGAGGGAGTTGGTGCGGCAGAGGTGAAAGTACAGTGTAGAGGTCGAGGATTAAATTAGCCGTCCCAACTCAGGAACGCTATACATACATTGAGATCTGAGATTATTTTCTGTATCTTCCTAGATATTTTGTCGTAGTCTGCAATATGCGTTGTGAGGTTTAAAGAGTGTCCCGAAACGGCTAGCGTAGTCATGTGACCTAAGCGAAACGAAATCCCACAACTAAGGACTGGATACAACCTGAGACGGAGGAGAGAGTACGAACACTCAGGACACCCAGCGACATCACCCAGCTCGACAACCCGGTCAATTCAGTCAAGATGGTAAGAAGGATGTTCCTTTTCTTCATTTGTTTCTTTGGAAGAGCTATGTTGGGGGTTAATCAAGGATGAAGTGGCTTGGAAACCGCCGAAATGACGAGGACGATGACTCTGTATACACCAATTTTGCGGTCTTTGGAGACGTACCCGCGCGACGGAACTTGAAGGAGGAAGGGGACGGAATCGATGGAGTTGAATATATACTCAGCATGGGAGCGGGAGATATTCATCAAAACACTTCATGGCCAAACTTCCGCAAACTATTGTTTTATTCGTCAAATGAACTCGGATGTTCCAGCAAAATGCCCGCTTCCCTTCCGATACCTCAAAAACATCGCAAATATGTCCAAATGTCCCTTTCCCTCCCACCAAAACCACGCGTCCGATACTACACCGAATACCGTTCTTATCATGCGGCAGAATGTGCTAAACCAGATGCCTTGATTACTTTGTGGAAATAGCAGGAACACATTTTGAGCAGATGTTGTACGCACGGATGCTGATATCTGGGTGTTTTGCCAACAGGTTAACGTTCCCAAAACCCGCCGGACATACTGCAAGTCCAAGGAGTGCAAAAAGCACACCCAGCACAAGGTCACCCAGTACAAAGCTGGAAAGGTGAGAGAGCCATTCGACTTCACAACCCTCTTGGTCATGAGGGATAGGGCTATCAGGTGTGCTGATGGCGTCCGTTTCCAAATCCAGGCCTCGCTATTCGCACAGGGAAAGCGTCGTTACGATCGTAAACAGAGCGGTTACGGTGGTCAAACGAAACCCGTGTTCAGGAAGAAGGCCAAGACCACAAAGAAGGTTGTTCTGCGGTTGGAGTGCACGGTCTGCAAGACCAAGGCCCAACTGGCTTTGAAACGATGCAAGCACTTCGAGTTGGGGTACGTGACATTCCGGATATACAGCTATCTTTCCTTGGAAACATGTGTTTCTTTTACTGACCTAATTTCCCTATTACAGTGGTGACAAGAAAACTAAGGGGGCAGCTCTTGTTTTCTAAACTTTTTAATCCAAGCTTTTATGTTGTTCTGTTTTCCTTTTCTCTTTTAGCATTTGGGCACGCTCCGTAAATAGAGCGGATGATGGATTTTTAATATGAAAGTCATGAGCAGTCCCTGAGTCTTTGCGGTCCGAGTTGTTACTTCTCCCTATCCCAACTCTAGCCCCTATACCAATAATTCACCATCGTAAAGAGTTTCTAAATTTCACCAGAACTGCAAAGATACTTATTCTTAAGCGGTTCTACGGATAAGGCTCCTTTAAGCATGCTATTTCATTCAATGACATGTTGATAGTTGACATCGGAGATTTTGATCCTGGCTTGCAGCCAACAAGTTGACGCCTGTTAACGGCTCCTAAGATCAACCTTTCAATGAATATCGTCTGCTCCCTATTCCCCACAGTAAAATGGCATATTCTTTATATACTCAAGGGACCAGTACTTGCGCACGTTTTCAGCAACAAGGCGAACTACCTCGTCACCCATATGCACCCACAAAGCCTGCCCAACCCATCCATCCTCACTTTCAAGCTCTTCAATTCGAATTCCTTTTTACCTTCCTTGCATTCTGTTAAGGTACCCCCTGCAACTTCACGAGACCTTCGTGGATCAATTCATCCTGAGCGAGTAGCTCCATCTTGCTATGCTTTTTCCGTGAATTCAGGCATCCGCTGACCGAGGTGTGGAAAGACAAATTCCTTTTCCGCCGTGCGATGAATTTTCAAATCGTTGCAGAAGTTCGTTCCCATTTCGATCAACTGGTCAAGAGTCATGTCTTTTGGCAGTTCATTGGCAAGGCAGGCATCGTATAAGGTCGTCCATGGATTGCGGAACATTGTGTGCTATGCAATTTGTGAGTGATGGCTCTCGGGTTAAAGTAATGTTTTTTTTTTCTTTTTTTTTTTTTTTTTTTTTTCTCTCTCTCTAGTAAATTTGCTTCGATTTTTAACTAGCGAAGCATTCCATTTTATCAGCAAAGGAATTGTAGACCTTGAACTCTTCTGCAGACAATTCCGGTAAGGGTCTCGTGGGGTCCTTCAGAGGAAGAAAGGGGCTCTTCTGATGAGTTAGAGAGGCCATATTTTGTCGACAGCTGAATGTGTTCTTGTTGAAATCTCCACAGAAAATAGGTTGTATATATCTCATTGTTGGATTGTGATGAGGCACCCGAACACGTTTATTGAATGGTAATTAATGTTCTTGGAGCTGCAATATTTAGCGTTGCCACTCATATCACCGATGCTAACAGATGATGACCTCGATAGTATCAATAACGCCAGGGTATGTGAGCTGGGACGCAGCTTACTGCTGAGCGAAAACGCTGGCTTACTGGAAATGCCGATCAAAGCCAGGCAAAAAAAAAAAAACAAAAAAATAAATAAATAAATAAATAAATAAATAAATATAAATAAAAATAAAAATAAAATTCTAGAATGAGGCAAGGTTAAGCGCGCATAATGCTCGTAGCCAATTCTATCGTGGTGCCTATGCGGCGATGGTTGGCAGACAGGGATAGTGATTCCAAATGTGCGCACTTATTTGCATATTCTGTACATAAACTGGTTTGACCGTATCTCAATCTTAACTACCAGATCATTGGGAACAACCTCTTGTCTTCACACCCAGCAAACCCAGTACATGCCAAGTGCAAGGACAGATTCGGTTGTAGTGAAGCAACGAATTAAGATTTTTTTGTTGCATATGTAATGCTTTTCTTCAGTACATGAGATACGTGATGATGCTGACCTAAGGGGGCATGTATATCAATTGCCGTTATTAGGATAGGCTATGGCATCATTTCTATTCCCATATCATGCTGTATGGCACGAATATACGAGTGGAAACTGATATTCCTAGTTGAGAATTAAAGAGTATTTAACATAAGGCGACATGAAGGAGATATGAACAACAGGAAATGAAAAGGCGCAGTCAGATCAGAAAGATCAGACAGATCCTGAGAACAAGACAAAATAGAACTGGAAAAGGGGCAAGTGACGCTTTGGATCTTGAAATGTCCCATAATTAGGTTTGAGCTTCCAGAGAAAGAGAGGAATTGATATTCCGAGATGACATCATGGGACTGAATGATCAGGAAAGAAAAAGAGGGTATATAAGTATTGGATAACAAGCAGAGGATCTTCAAACAAGTGATAAAATTAGCAAGGTATCAGGGAATAAACCCGTTTCCTGGCATATCCTCATGCCACACATCAAACCATTAGGCTTGAAAGGTGAACGAATTGTATTCACCATAAGATGCCCTCGCCTCTACGCGTCGTTGAGTTTGGCAGCTCTCAGTTTGGCCTTCAATTCATCGACAGTATAATTTTGATTATGGGTGTTTGGAAGCTGAACCATCCACGATGGAGGAACTATTCCAGTTTGCTCATGGATAGTGGAGAAAAGGGGTGGAAGGCATTGCATGAGATTTCGGATTGGAGCGGTGGTATCCTGGGAAGCCTCTCCAGAGCCTGACACGACGTCAGTCACGGACAACAAGAAACGGCATATTTGGAAAGGATGGCTAACTCACCGGTGTTCCACACGGTAATCTTTGGTTCGAGTCCCCTGATAGCTTCTCCATTTGCTCTGGCAAGTGCCTCATAGGTATTGTTCTGGATCATCAAGTACTGCAGGAAGCCCTGAGGTCCTCCAAATACATCCACCATAGCGGAATATGCCTTTGCCATTTCCGCCACACCCTCGGCTTCTTTCTTTTTTGCAATGAATGAGGCTTCTGCTTCTTTGGTCCTAATAATAAAGGCTGCTTCTGCTTCCTTGGATCTTCGGTAATCTGAAAGTGATTTGTTGGTTAGCTCTGGAGTGCATGTAAAATCTCAACCACAGAGAAAGTTCTTGAGGTGTTGCAAGCAAGCAAGGCGGGTATAAACCTGCTTACAGTATGCATCGGCATCCATTTTTTGCTTATACACGGCACCATCTGAGGCTTTCATTTGGGTGTAGAGGTTTGCATCTGCAGACTGCTCAGCTGACTCCCTGGCAACCTTGCTCTTGGTCACATCGAGTGCCCGAAGTCGTTCCAATTCCGTTTCCGCACGTTTAGTCTCGACCTGTTTCTGCAACTCCGCATCCCTCATTTCCGCTTGGCGCTGGGCGGCTATCTTTCCAAGTTGAATTCCCATGTCCAGCTCCGTTTGGCGATTTGTAAGCTGAGCATCGGCCTGCGCCTTCTCACTCCGACGTTTGGTTTCTAAAACAGCGGTTTCTGCATCGATCTTGGAAATTTCTTGCTTTGTTTTGCCTCTTTTTTCAGCCTCACCAATTTCTCCTCTCATTCGAGCTTCTGCGACGTCAATCTTGGCTTGATTCAACGCACCTTCGTGCGCTTTCCGACTGAGCTATAATTCCACATAGTTAGCGCGTGTGTATGTCTTTGAGCCTATCAAGAATGCGCTTACAAAGGCGAAATATTCGCTTCCAGGGGTATCTTGAAGTTCTTTAACGTTGGCGTTGTAGCTACCATCTGAAGTAAGTATCATATACTTGGCAAAGCGCGACGGCACTTACATCCTGAGGCCAAATTGATCCAACTCGTTTTGGACATTTTCAATAACATGCTGCTTGAAGATCTGCCGTTCCTTGAAAATTTCCTCCATTGTCATTCCAGACACAATCACGCGCGTCTCGCCTTCGATGATGCCTTTTACGATATCCTGAACATGGTTTCCCCTGGTATAGCTCGAGGACTTTGGGATTTTCACCCCATCAGCATTTCCGGAAAGAAGAAGAGCATATTTCTTGAGAGATTCGATGTTGTTATCAGGTCCGATTGTGAAGACTGCTGGGAGGGAAAATTGGAGTTTTTCGATGGTCATGGCCTGGAGATTCATAGAGAAATCGAATGGAGATATCGAAATTCGAGTGCACTGTAGAGGTATTCCGTTAGAGTGATAGTCATTTACGAAGGGCCCAACGCCACGATTCCCCTCATGTCATGGAAGAGAAATGTTCCGGATTTGAAAAGCTCACTTTTTGCCATGGCATCACAAACGCGGTTTTCTTGATAAGAACATCATCAATACCACCACCGGTAATAACGAGATACTCGTTCGGTTCTGACACGTTGTACCTGGAGTAGAGACTGACATTAATCACAATCAGTTTGGAGACAGAGGAGTATTGGAAGAACAACAAACGTACATCATGATGGATAATTTTAAAAAATGTGATCAATTCATAAGTATAGAATCAAGCAGCCCTCGTTCTGATATAGATATTGAAACAAACAACACCGTGTCGTAAAATACGTGTGATGCCTACGTGCAATCCGAAAATATTCCAATGTTGGAAATGGGGACAGAGTTGATATAAATACGAAGCAACGGAGGCGTTCTTCATAAAATAGAGATTGAAAGCAAAACCTTTGAGAGCTCTACGAAAGGAGCCTTGTCGATCAGAATGAGCCTAAGACAAGCCATCAATTCACCCATGACATTGAGCACCAAAGCAGCATGCACAACACATTCAATAACGCAGGATGGTTGGGAATTGGTACGATAGACCGTCAGTGGCCAAGCAAGGGTTGTTGTTCATTTTGTGTGTTTAGCCATTGCCAAAGCAAGCTTTGGACATAAGTTTTAAGCCGCAACCCTGTCGGACGCAACAAGGCTGTGAACCCGTCGTGAGATGGAAAGACCAGATACATAGCTCAATTGCAGGGGATTTCCTAGTGCCAATAACAATGCCACTCTGGTCCGTCCTACTAGATCATACTAGAGGCAATCATCTGCAGAGAGTTAAGGTTGGTAACATCGTGTCCATCCTTACATCGCAATTGAAAGCAAAAGAGACGGGCAGTGAGAACCACTATTTAAGAACATAGCTCCATTCTCTAAGGCGTCTATGCGACCCAAGGCCCCAAAACGGATCAGGTTGGGAGGCATTTCTCAAGCCCAAGCGACTTGTGAAACCGCTTCGCATGCAGGAGACGCTACATGATCTTGATAATCAGTTTCTTATGCTATTTCCTATAACGGTAGCGGCTAGAACATATGAGAGACGAGATGCCGTATTTTCCGTTGAGCAAAATAATTGCTGTTAGTGTTGTTAGCATATAAATGGTCTCGAAGACCAGGACATTGGTACGAGGAGTAAAACCCTTGTCGCTTTAATTACGCCAGAGATAATATGCGAAGGATGCGAACGAGCAGAACGAACAGCGGAAAATAATTAATGCCAAGCCCGAGCCAACGAGGCGGAGCTAAACCGGAAAAGAGCCTCATGACTAGTGCACGTGACACTAAGCCTCTAAGGGATTCCGCTAACAGTGGGGGCTAAACCTGGAGCGGACTAGGGCGGGTGGAGGCTCAACATGACTCCGCCTCCAACCACGGACCTTTGGTCTTGACATCCATGGACATGGAACTTGATGTCAGAGTTTGATATCGCATGATACTCATGCATTTTTTTTGCGTCTTGGATGTTTTCCTGCTTACTGTCTAAGCCTCTCTGGACAACAGCAAATCGACATGACCAACATTTCCATCCGTGAATGAGAGCCTGGTGAATTATTTCTCCTCGAAGCTTGGCTAATCCATCATCCGTTGTTCACGGTCCCTTTAGGCCTTTGAACTTTTGGAAATTATCTCCTCGTTTTCAAATGTTCCCCTGATTCGTGAATGGTACCTGTATATGAAAGAATTGGAATTCCTACATTTGTGTACTCGTTATGCGTCCCCTTCTGGAAGTGCTCTCTCCCAAACCAACATCACTTATAAAGCATATTGACATATAGACCTAGCTTATCTTGATTTAGAGTTATTCCTTTCTTTCCTTTGAGGTGAAGGTTATATTTTACCTTCGATCCCAAGTGTCC